CCCGCAGCGCCGCCGTGACACCTCCAACTCTGGTTATACTTCAGTCTTTTTATCGAACTTAGTGTCTACATCGTTTTAGATTTATTTTTGTCCTCCGGAGCAAAACAAAACATTTTTTGTAAACAGTTGAGTAGCTCAGTTTCGCAGACGCGGGAAATAGTGCGCATGCTCGTAGTAGGAGTCACGTAGTAGAGACATAGTAACGTTTACCGCAGCCCTTTATCAACGCTCTAGTAAAACATAACAGATACAACAATAAAAATATATACATGAAGTCGACAGAACGGCATAAAACCGTGTAAGTCTCTCATATTGTCGTATTTTCTACTTTATTTTTATTATAATACACAGACACGTCAGTATTTATTATTTTAGAGTCTGACAGCGGCGAGGATGTAGAGGTGCGTGAGGTGCCGGGGCGCGCGCTCCCTGCAGAGGGCGCCTACGATCCCAAGCACTTTCAGGACCTAAAAGTGCCTCCAGACATGGAGAACTTGTTCCAGTACATAATGAAGTGAGCCATTGTATTACGAAGAATATGCGAAATAATTGTAACATATATGTACCAGCTCTTGCTGCAGCAATCACTATCTCGTTAGAGCTGAACATCGCTTACGTTTTAATGTTACTACACATGTACCACTTTATTCAAACATTTAATCCCAGTGCCTCATCTTTTAAATGGTCACAAAATAGGTGATAAAGACGATCAACTGTCGTGCATCACGGAACGATTTGGAATGCAGACTTTATTGCTAATGCGTTAAAATGCATTTTTAAATATAGGTGCGTGGCTCATCACAAACTATGTCACAATGTCGCGCAAGCCGAGTGACGATCTCCAAATAGTCAGCACTCGTAAATGTCGTGTTGCGTTTTTTAATATGCTTTCAACATTGCAGTTGACGCTGACTAAACATATTTATTTTCTTTTGATTGCTGGCAGCGGAATACATAATAGACCAAGCGTTGGTGCAGGTACACTCCGCAGAAGATCGAGCTGGAAGGGCGGCTGCGCGCCTTCGTGCCGGAGT